ACATACATTGCATACATTACATACATTACATACATTAGATACACACCTACATACATACATTACATTACATTACGTTGCATTACATTACGTCACGTTGCATTACATCACGTTACATTAGTTTACATAAATGCATACATACATTACATACATGCATACACACATACATACATACATACATGCATACATACATACCGACGTACATCCATACATAGATACAGACATACATACATAAACCATATTACATACATACATACATACATACATACATACATACATACATACATACATTACATTACAGTGCAGTACATTACATTACATTACATTACATTATACTACAGTACAGTACATTATACTACAGTACATTACATTATACTACAGTACATTACATTAACTACCATACATGACATTCCTTGACATGACCTTTCATTACATTACATACAGTACATACATACATACGTACATACGTACGTACGTACATAAATACATACATTACATACATTACATACATTACATACCATTACATTACATTACATTAAATTGCAGTAGAGTACATCACATTACATGACATTACATGACATACGTACATACTTACATACTTACATACTTACATATTTGAATACTGTTATACTTACATACATACTTACATACATTACATTACGCTACGCTACGCTACGCTACACTACACTACATTACATTTCCATTACATTACATTCATACATTCATACAGTCATTACATGCATACATACATACATAAAGCACCATACACACATAAAAGGATATGAACACATGACCACATACAAAGGCACAACCATGCAACACAACAAATCTGCAAATATACAAACAATCAAGCATGCACACACACACCTACAAACATACATGGCTGTTGCTCAAAAAAATGCACTCAAATGGCCTCCTTGGTAAATGGAACCAACGACTAAAACCTGCGTAACATCCGAATGGGTTGATTCTGCCGACCTGGCCGATCCGGAAACCTGCAAGGGACACCAGGAGTTCCGATCAAGACATGTGTCAACAAAATGCAGAGATCCGGCGGAACATTTGCTCGGTTGCTTTCTGCTCCCCTGCTAACAGTTTAACTGTTAGTGGTTTAATGAAACACCCGTTAGTTGGCAAAAAGTTAAAGTCCTAACATCAAGCCTTGGCAACATGCACCAAAGTTTGTCCGGCGGAAGATCGCCCTGGGTCCTCGAAGATGTTGGGCCTCTTGCAGTCCGTCTTCCCCTGGCCCGAGTGCGACGAACGTCCCGACGGGGCCTTTTTGGTCATTGAGCAAGAAAATCGGGACCGAACTCTGGAGAAGCAGAAGGGGCACCCGAGTGATTGCATCCCTAGGTCGGTTGGTACCCGATTTTCTGTAGTCTATTTTAGTAGGGGAAATCCCTCCCAACCAAAAAGGGGGTGAGAGGTCGGGCAGCTAGCTGGGCGACCTAGATGACTTCTCCTTGCTGTCTTTTGGATGAGGGGGGAATCCATAGCGTCCAGAAAGCCCGTCAACAAAAACGGGCCAAGCCTGATTGGGAACCCCTCACGTGGAAGCCTATCCTCCCATATTCCGGCGAGTTCACGAAGACGGCCACTTGGGTTGCTCGAGCTTGAAAAAGTCGTTTCAAAGACGTGTGACTCGGCGCCAAAGCCTGTTGGTGAAAGCGAGCCCACAGAAGAAAAGCAAAAAAGACAACATGTCAACATCGCAGACCAACCCTTCAGTCCTCGATTCGATCCGACCGTTCGCCAAAGACCCATAAACACCCCCAAGGCTGAGGGACTTATATTGGAAGCTTTCAGGTCGTCTCCGCAAATGGAGACCAATTCTTTCAAAGACATTCCGTTCGGGAACTTCCATGGAATCGCCTGGGTAAAAAGCAGCTGGACCCTTTCTGGGTCTGCCACTTGCGGCCAAGTCGGTCCCATTTGAAACGAGGCTGGAGGCACCTGGGCCTTGAAGGCCCTGAATTCGGGGAGCCGCTCGATTTCATTGGGCCGGGCCGTCACAAAAAACTGCTCTGGCTCTCAGCAGGGAAGGGAGTGACCCCTACAAGCCATCCATCCTACGGTTTCCTTTAAGGGATCCGGTTTATTCCCAACGCCTGGAATCGTAAAGCTATTCCCTACCTATCACCAGTCCCCTGTCAATAGCTTCCTTCAAGGGACATCCCTTTCCGGTTCATTCTCTCGGAAATGTTCTTCCCTACCCATCGATCACCAGCAAGAAAAGGATGAAAACGAACGGAGTTCCTTTCACTTCCCCTTCAAACACCCGAGCTGTCCCAGCTGTTGGGCTTCGAGTCGAAACTCGCCTTGCTTGGCCCCCCGACCAAGAAAAAAAACAAACGGAGCGAGGGGCTGGAAGCGGATTTTTGAACCCCTTCCACCTGGGCTCCCAAAATCGAGTGAAGTGCACAAAAAGGAATTTAGAGGATTTCACGGATAAGGACATACCCAGACCTCCAGGCCATGTTTCTTCCGGATATTTTAAAGGTAAACCTCCCTCCAAAGCAACGAGGAATAGACGGGAATAGGACTGGAGGGTTTGTAGGTCCCCCTCTTCGACTATGGGGAGGCGTGTTCTGCAGCCCAGGACTATCTAAGGGCATCACAGACCTGCTATTGCCTCAAGCTTCCTTGCTTTAGACTTTAGACACACAAAGTCCCAAGAAGTTGCCCATATAACCAAGGTTACATGTAACTTTTTTGCAGGTTGAGGTCACCCGTTCGTTCACGGAAGTAACCCGACAAATCGCCGCCCCCACCGGGACGAAACCGGGACGAAGCCATCCGCCTGCATGACGTCTGCGAGGCGCACCAGAGCGCAGTGAACCACCGTGCCGTGCACCAGAAAGGCAGGGGAGGTGATGATGGGCAGCAGCACCTGAAGGGTGTCTCTTCTTTTTTTCTTTTTTGCGATATTCCGTCCCACTCAAGTGGTGGGTTTCGTTTTGGCTCCCCTTTAAAACCACCAACAAATGAATACCCTCAAAAAAATAATCCACACCCCAGGTCTGTCCCTTTCCAAACGGACACTTCGAGCTGGCTTGATTCTGAAAAGAGAAAAAACAACAGGTGGGAGAATGGCTTCAAATCGATCCAAGTGATTTAAATCATGGATTGTATTCTTGGAAACCAATGGAACCATCCTTACCACGGAGTGAGCATAGACAACAAAACTGGGCACCAGGGTAGAAGCCTGGTACCTGAAAGGAAAGCAATGGCAAACCTAACTTCTACACACAAGGCTGCTCCTATTCGACCCGGTCGGTCGGGTAGCCAAATGGCACCCGAAAATGAACCAACGAATCCATGCACCAATTTGCCCCCCGTGTGGCTTCATCATCTTTTTGAGGCTGGGAGCGGGCAAATCTACACACCCCAAAACCATTGAGAATGGACACAGCACTCCTTGCCAGTTCCATCCATACTCTCCGCTTTCACAAAAAACACTCCGTATGTTGCAGCCCGCCATGGGCTTGAACTCAATCCTGACAAGCACCAACTCGTCACGGCAAATTCAGCGCCCGCGGAATTGCTCTAACAGACAAATCAAAACGGAAACCGCCCCCGTTTTTCCCCAACAGCTAAGGGGTCTCAGCCCAGATAAGGTTTGGGGGTGGCTTGGGGGAGCTCCGGAGTCAGGTTCGAGCAAGGTTCCGGAGGTTCCGGGGATGTCTGGTGCAGGCGAGGTGTAAGGTTAGGCCAGGTGCAAGGTTCAAGTCTGGTGCAGTCCAGGTGCAAGGTTCAATGCAGGTTCCGGAGGTTCCGGGGTGGTCTGGTGCAGGCCAGGCGTAAGGTTCAAGGAAGGTTCCGGAGGTTGCGGAGTGGGCCAGGGCAAGGCCCAAGGAAGGTTCCGGAGGTTCCGGGCTGGTCTGGCGCAGGCCGAGTGTAAGGTTCAAGGAAGGTTCCGGAGGTTTCGGGGTGGTCTGGTGCAGGCCAGGTGTAAGGCGGGGTGGTCTGGTGCAGGCCAGGTGTGAGAATGGCTCCGGAGGTGTCGGGGCGGTGTGCACACCAAGTGTTATAAGGTTCAAGGAATGTTCCGGCTCACAAGCGACACCCTCCAATTTTCGATCCACGTGAAGGAAAGCCGTGCTGCATGGCACGCTGAATTTGAAAGGGTTGTGATGTGTTTTGAACTGCCTTGCGGGCAGTAAGTCTGGCAGTTTGGCATATTTGTCCTTCTTTGACTTGCTTTCGGGCGCGCAACCTGGAGCGATCCCCGAAGCGATACGAAAGCGATACCCTAAAATGAACACAACCCCCCGAGGTGAATCTCTGACCTTGAGATCTAGGAAAAGCGTTGGAGCTTGTCAAGCTTGTCCTGCAGCATGTTGAGCCTTGGGCCTGCCTTTCGAAGTTTCCACGAAGATGTGGCACGCATGCAAGCATGTGTCAAAAAGCGATGCTATCTGAAAGCCTTTTTTCCCAACAGCTGAAAGCTTTGGGGTCTCAGCCCGGATAGGCTCCGGAGTGGTCCGGGGCCCTGAGGTAAGGTTCCACCAGTTCCACCAGGGTTCCAGGGCTGCGGGGTGGTGGGAGCACTAAAAAGAGCACCGCATGCTGTTGGGTATATCACCTGAGCTTATTTTCGTTTTTTTTTTTTTGACACATGCCCATTTTTGACCACCCACAAACTCTTAAGCATCAGCAACCCCGCCTGGCGCACGTCGCGGCCGGTCCAGGTGAGCAAGACCCGCACGGAGGGGTTGTCCGAGCCCCGCTCCTCCTGCTGCAGCACCTGCCGAGAAGCGCTTTCGCGCGCGCGAGTGCGCGCGAAAACGGCCTAGTGGGTGGGGCGGTGGGTTGAAAATTCTGGGGGGTACCTCCCACATTTCCATTCTTAACCCAGGGGTCCGGATCTTTCTAGAAAACCTCCAGACACCCAGGGAAAACGGATGCAGTTTTTGAGAAGAACGATGGTTGAAAAGAATGGGCAATCAAACCTACAAACATGGAATCCACGAGTTCTCCTTCTTCTTCTTTCTTTTTTTTTTTTGGGGGGGGGTGAGATTCCCAAAAGCATCAGAGAAGTGGAGACAAACCCCGAGTGATCCCCGCAACCCTGCTTTACAGCGAAACGTCCTATGGATCCAATGGTTGTCCCGGGCTCATAGGGGCCCGATTCCCAATCCAATAGGGGCGATTTAAGTGACTAAGGCCGATTTGGGGGGGTGGATCTGTGGATGGTTGGGGAATTCAGAAATTGCAGCACCGTTCAGAAACCCACGGAAATGTTTCGATTCCAACCAACGTGAATACCACCAAGGTTATCCCTGGGGTTCGGGGGCCTTAAAAAGAAAGGCCTTTAGGAAGCGGCCGTGAAATGTGGGGAACGTCCTTTGTTTGCAAGCTGGACGCTTTTAATTGGGTTGACAGTTTTGTGTTGGCCGCATTAGTAGCCACATGGCTTTGCAGTGCTTGTGGCTGAAAAGTGCGCTTTCCAAAGCCTCGCGAAAACCATGTAGACATGTTGAAGCTGGTCAATGCTCAAGGTCTTCAACTTTGTGGGATTTCTAGAGACATTGATCATGGGCTTAGCAATGGGAAATCGACAAGGGAAAAGCGTGAAAATACCGTGAAATTGGCGTGAACGCCTTTTTTTGCAGTGAAAGACCGTGAACCGCCGTGAAATTTGGCAGGCTAAAAACCACTCGCATTCGTCCTGGCTGCTGTTGTTTTCTGCTGGGTTTGAAAAGGTCTTGCTGAATGGATGCTTCGGGAAGACCATGATTGTTTATTGATGATGCAGACATGTGCTGCTTTAACGTTGGGGCCTTCGCAAGTCTAGCTTGGTGTGGAAAAGGCTTGTTGCTGACGATGTAAAGTTGGATTTCCACCCAGGCCCCCATCCCCCAGCTAGACAAACAAAGGATGTTCATGTAACGGCCTTTGTTTTAAAAGCCTTTTACCCCCCAGGGTTATGGTTTCAAGCATGGTTTCCAAGTGGTGCGAACGGATTTCGTCCATCCATGGTTGCCAAGGGCTCATGGCCCATTCCCCATCCCAATATGACCCTCCCCCAGGCGATATGGAAGCTGAGCGGATCCCTGGGTCCACTTGGCTCTAAAGCCCTTCTGGGAGCTTCCGGCGGTGACTCTGAGGGAGTGTAGTTTCTGAGGGGTGAGGGGTTTGAGGGGATTTCAGTGGGCTCGCAGTCCACATTTGAACAAGGCAATCATTGACCGAAAGCCGGACATGAGCTCCAGCCACCCGAGAGACTTGCATCGAAAAGCCCAAACTCCGAAAACGGCTTGCGAACAAAGCATCAGCGCATGTCCAAACATCGAGCCTATAAGAAAAAGCTGGAGTTTTGGGTTGGTTCATCTTACCAACATTCACGTGTTTGAAGGGTGGTTCCCCTTGGTTGCCTACACAGCAAAATGGAAGCACTGGCTTGCCACGCGAAAGTAAGAGCAGGGGCTCGCCACCCACGACGCTGAGGCTTTGCCGGTGTGCGGTTTTCGGCATAAGCATAGCCCAGTGTTGAACGCCAGAGGGAAACTGCAGGGAAACCAACAGGTGTCCCAGGCATTTGCAGGGGGCTGGTTAGTTGAGCGATTTTAGGAGAACGGATCCTTTGGCGGACATCATTTGCGGATTTGTTTGTTCCTGTCGCCATGCCAAGTTCGGAAAGTTGGTTTGGAGTTGGCCGGGCAAAATGACATGTTCCCCAAAGATAGCCCAGTTTTTGCTAGACATCTAAGGACTGTCTGCTCTTCTGAACCTCTCGTCCTACGTCAGAGGATCAATCATGTTTGTCAATTGAACATTGAGGACGAAGTACAACTCGTCCGTCAATTCACCGACCCAGAAGATTCCCTACGGAACTTGGGAGAGGGTGTGCAAAAGGGGATTCCCCGAAGTCGATTTCCCACATTGTATGGACCAGTTAAGAGTTCATTCCCAAGGGAAGCATCCAGTGTTATTCAACCCTTTGCAGGCTTACCCACATTACCATTGAACAAAGGTCCTTGGAAGACAAGTATCGCCTGTAAACCGCATGGATCCATAAGATGCGAAACTGGCGAATCCATTTTTTAACTTTGGCTTCCCGTGTAAACGTCTCAGCGTCGCTAGGCCCGGCCCACAGCCAATTCAAGCTTCTGGTGCACTCAAAAAATTCCCGCTGGCTATTTACGGGTATCTGGGGGTGCCGGAACAGTCGCTCCCGGAACCTTCATCTTCCAAGAATACGGAGAATGCCACAGCCTAGGAGCTTCAAACGAGTCAGAAACTCCTTTGCGAAGGGAAGTCTCCAGGCCCAACCCCATTGAGACTAAACATGTCCAACCCCCTATGTTTTTCATTCTCAGGGTATGTCTCTTGAATCTTGTGCATTGAACTTGCTCACTTCGCTTCGTAAATGTGGCAACAATTCCCATCCCCTGGTCTTGCTGCTTGTCAGGCCTGAGGGGATGATCCTAAGCACTCACTTCCTGAGTAGATTGGTCCAAAAAACGGTAACCAAACTGGTTATATGTAAATGATAGGAAAATAGACCATGAGATACAGAATGAACGAAGAGGATGGGAGAAAATAAAGAGAGGAATTACATAGAAATTGTTTATCTTAATTTCTTCTTCATATCATTTTATCATCTTTTCCAATATTATTTGTCGTATCGTTTTATTATGTATTGTAAACTTTAGAATATTGGAAACTCACATTGCCACTAAAATCTAGGTACTCCAGTAGAGAGGTAAAAATAAGTTGGCAACATTTTTTTCAAGACGTCTATTTTAGTAGGGGGAACCCTCCCAACCAAAAAAAGGGGAGAGAAGGGCACCTAGCTGGGGGGACCTAGAAATGGCAACCAAACCCAAAAAGTGGCAAAAGTCCAGAAACTGCCGCCCGTCGGAGCCTGCCACACCGTCTCCAGTAGGTCCACACGCCGCAGGAATTTCCGCAAACCACCGGACAGGGGCCTCCGCAAATGGCCGAAAACCCGCGGATTTGGGGATAACCTGTTGGGCTGTTCTATGGCGATGTGTTGAAAAAGGGGACCTGCAAAACAAAACCCAATCTGCCTGTTTTATAGCGAGCTCACCGATTCGGGGCGGTAAAACGAGCTCACCATGGTCAAGATCCTTTACTTGGGGATCCCATGTTTCAGGTTGGCCCAAAACAAAACTCTGCTTGCTTCCAATTGGTTGTTTGGAGCCCGGTGGTTTGGTGGTGAAACGGCGGGGTTTCCCATCTACCCTCCACAAGAACCAGGGGCGCAAATCCCCAAACCACCAGTCCAGCGATTCAGAGTAACCTAAAGAGCCCAATGGAAGCTGACGATCGGGCCTGGAAAACACAGGTCCGTCCTGAAAGGGGAAGCAAAACGTGCGCGTCCATGATTGTCGGAATGGGGCAATTACAACAACGCGCTCGTCCGAAGGAAACAACACATGCTTCTCCGCTTCAATTGACGCTGGCCATCTCACCTTTCCTGGGTCCTCCAGAGAGGTTAGAATCAGTTGGCACCAACTTGTTTCTGTTAGGGGAACCCTCCCAACCAAACAAGGGGTGAGAGGTCGGGCACCTACGTGGGGGACCTAGTTTCAGCCACCTGGGAAGAGTTTATTCGACGCCACTGTTCGGTGTGCGGCCATGGAAGTCATGAGACCCCATCAAGCGGAAATGGCACTCGGCCCAGTCAAATGTCCGAGCCCTTGTTTGTAGATACCTACTTGGTTGACGTTGGAATGGGAGCAAAACAAACAAAAAGCAGTTCAGTTGGGATTTCCCATTAAACCACAACAAGTAAAGATGTGAAGTGTGTCCCAACAACAACCATGCCCAGGGGCCAATACGGAATGTTGCAAGGGAACAAAGGACCTTAAAACTCACTTCCGATCGAGACTGGCCTGAAGGTCCAAACTCTTTCGCCACGATCCAAACCCAAAAAGGTTGTCCATGAACTCAGGGAGTGAGTTTCAAATTTCCCCCCATGGCCATGGGTCAAAACCCCGGTTAGCCAACAGCGAACATCCCAATCCAACCACTAAAATAGACCAAGATGGGTGGTGCACCTACCCCAAAATGGGATCCCGCTGGTTTTGACCCACAGTTCCATGTGGCCGTGTGTTTCTTGAATTTCGGGCAAGCTCGCGGGCCTCGAGCAGTCCATGAGCAGCTGGGTGATCTTCTCCGTGAGGGCGGCTTTGGCCCTCGCCTGAGGAAAAATCTGTCTTTCTGAGGGTAGCTTCCCCAAAAATGGAGGGGGGGGTTACTCTTTGGGATGCCCTTGCTGTTGCATCACAGAATTCGTGGATTCCATTTGTCTAGTGCTACCTTTCCCAGGGATCCGGATCTTTCTAGAAAACCACCAAAAACCACGGGAAAACAGCGATCGATTATTGAAAAGAACGATGGTTGAAAAGAATGCTGAATCAACCCCTAGAGTCTTGGCCCGCTCCTGTCTGCGATGTATGCGTTGGTCTCGCTGAACAAATGCGATTTCTGTTCGCAAGATGAGGGTTGATCCGTATTCCATTTAGGGCCCCCAAATGACCATGGGTAACTTTAGCCATGCGGGAAAATATCAAATCGTTTTAGTGGTTGTCCAACCAATGGTCATCCCATGTTCATCGGACCTTTTGATCAACCGCCATATGCCGAAATCCTGAAATGGATCGATTTCCTGGAGCTCGCCATAAAACAGTTGTAAGCAGAAAGGTCGAAACTCCCTATGTGCATGGCATGAACTGTTGGTTGATATATCTTCCCCAAAGAAAACGCACGATGAGAAGATCAGGTTTTATACCAACACGAAGCAAACAGCAAACTCCACGGGCATCCATACAGGTAGAAACACTAGCCCCTTTATGTTACCATTATCAAGGTCGCCCCCTAAGTGGTCGGCTGAATCGAAAGCACAACCCCAGACACAGAATCCAAATAATGACCCCAGAAACAGGGCAAGCATTCTCACCAGTATCAAAGGGGACCATCTCGGAGGTCTGGAAGCTTTGCTGGAGGCGGGTGTCTTTGAAGCCAAAGGGTTGTTCCTTGACATGCTTCCATTTGCGTTTTGGCCCCCTGGAACAAACAACAAATATGTCCAGTAGTGATATGGAGATTCCCTTCCAAATTAAATGGAAGCATGCAGTCACATTGCACACTCACTTGAGTGTATTGCCCGGAACAGATGACTTTTGCTTCTAGGTCCTCCAGCAGAGAGGTTAGAAAAAAGGGTACCCTTTTTTCTGTAGTCTATTTTAGTAGCGGCACCCTCCCAACCAAAAAAGTGGGTTAAAAAGGGCACCTAGCTGGAAGACCTAGGCTTTATCTTACGCAATCGCTCGCCAAAGGTTCAAGTTCAAAGAAGCAACGGAGGAACCCTGCCTCCCAGTTGTGCGCCTTCGTGTAACACTCAGCCAAGGACCCTTAAAGGGATCCCTCATGGTGTCTGGGTGCGTGTGTGTGTGGTGTGTGTGGTGTGTGTGGTGTGTGTGTGTGTGTGTGCGTGCGTGTGTGGGTGTGTGTGTGTGTGTGTGGTGTGTGGGTGTGCGTGCGCGTGCGCGTGCGCGTACGCATGGGCGTGCGCGTGCGCGTCCGCGTGCCCGTGCGGGTGCGGGTGTGCGCGTGCGCGTGCGCGTGCGGGTGCGGGTGTGGGTGGGTGTGCGTGTGGGTGTGGGTGTGGGTGTGGGTGTGGGTGTGCGTGTGCGTGTCTTTGTGTGCGTGGGTGTGTGTGTGTGTGTGCCCGCGGGCGCGTGTGCGCGTGTGCGCGTGTGCGCGTGTGCGCGTGTGCGCGTGTGCGCGTGTGCGCGTGTGCGCGTGTGCGCGTGTTGTGCGTGATGCGTGTGCGTGCGGCGTGTGGCGTGTCGTGCGTGCGTGTGTGCGTGTGTGTGTGTGTCGTGCGTGTGCGTGCGTGTGTGTGGCGTGTGTGGCAGTGTCTGTGTGTGTGTCTGTGTGCGTGCGTGCGTGCGTGCGTGCGTGCGTGCGTGTGCGTGTGTGTGTGTGTGTGTGTGTGTGTGTGTGTGTGTGTGTGTGTGTGTGTGTGTGTGTGTGTGTGTGTGTGTGTGTGTGTGTGTGTGTGTGTGTGTGTGTGTGTGTGTGTGTGTGTGTGTGTGTGTGTGTGTGTGTGTGTGTGTGTGTGTGTGTGTGTGTGTGTGTGTGTGTGTGTGTGTGTGTGTGTGTGTGTGTGTGTGTGTGTGTGTGCGTGGGTGTGTGTGTGTGCGTGTGTGTCGAAACAGGGATTTGGACCCAACCAAAAGGGTGGGGTTCAACCAAAGAAGGATAGCCTCAAGAAAACACACCCCCACATGAGCTGAATGCCCCTTGAATTCAGGGGCATGAACTCCACAACAGGTCGACTGTGGAAAACAAATCCAGCAACATAGGTAGGGCCTAAATCCGCCTGGGTTCCCAGACACAATCCGCGAAACTCGGATAGGTCGAAATGTCATCCGAACTCCGCAGATACTGATAGACCGAATCCTGCAGTTATGAATAAATACATAAATCCTGCAGTTTTCTGGAAAGAACAAAGCAACAAAGGCTGGCTTTGCTGTTTAAACAAAAAAAAAGAGTAAAAAACAAAAGGAAAAGCCATGGGATCCACCCACCTAACTGGTCTTCAGGATTCCGAGAAATGGCAGCTTCAGCCCACCTCCTCCTCGTTGCCATGGGTCTCGCGCCGGGAGTTCACCGTGAGCATCTCGAAGGACTCGCGAATGGCGTACCTCGGACACGCGAGCCGCTCGGCGCTCACAGGTCCCAATGGAGTGACCATGGCTTGGAACACGCACTCAATAGATTGGAGATATTTATTTCAACCACTCATGGAAAAAATACCCATGGTCATTTGGTGGCTGAAAATGTACCAACATGGCACCTTGGTAAATGGAAACAATCTCTAAAACCTGCGCGACCCTGGCTCTTTAACTTCGACCCTAAATGGAATATTGATCAACCCCCATCTGGTTCTCCTAAGGGTCTTTCCTCACTTCCCATCCAGTGGAAGTCACCAGACCCCAGCGAACATGGCATGCAAATCGGCCCAGGCAAGTGTCTGGGATCCCTTTTTGTAGACAATACTTGCCAGGTCCTCCAGTCGAGAGGTTAGAATGCGGGTACCCTTCTTTTCTGTAGTCATTTTAATAGGGGAACCCTCCCCCAAAGAAGGGTAAAAGGGCACTACTGGGGACCTAGACACGGACCTTTGCTCGAAAATCGTCTTCACCCACAGCGTGAGGCTTGACATCAAACGGCACTGCGCGAGCTCAAAAGGTTTGGGTGACTTCCGATCGAGTGGACTGGCCAGAAAAAGTCACCAAACTTGTTGTTTGCCACTAAAATGGTCTTCCCAAAAAAGTCACGAATTCCAGGAAGTTATGCAGTTGGGGTCCCTCTTTTTTGAGGGTGTGCCTTTTGTTGGTTGGCTTTACAGAGAACCCCAAAGGAAAACCACCATTTTGGGCCCTGTATTCAGCCAACCTTGAAAAATCGCAAGCCCAGGTCCCACCCAAACCTCCAAATATACAAAAAGAGGATGAGAATGACTGTGTGCACTGTTCTCTGGAGGGGGGGGGGTGTTCGTGATGCCTACCAGGGATGGATGGATTCCGAAGAGCAGTTCCAAGAACAAAGCTATTGAGAGACAGGAAGCTAGCCAAACCCCTGGTTTCAGTGGCCCCTTGAATTATGTCCGGAAGAGCTACCTGTAGCTTTCTGTGCGCTATACCTCGTTTGGTTCGGGCACCTGGTTGCCTAATCATGGCCATGAAAGTCAAATTCACGGAAAACCGGGCGCACGTGCGAAAACATCTGGGTGCATGAGTTCATCATTCACCCATCGGAACGGAAACTTCATGAGGTCCCAAAGCCTTGGTGTGTTGGTGTGTGCGTGTGCGTGTGCGTGTGCATGTGCGTGTGCGTGTGGGTGTGCGTGTGGGTGTGGGTGTGGGTGTGGGTGTGGGTGTGGGTGTGGATGTGGGTGTGGGTGTGGGTGTGGGTGTGTGGGTGTGTGGGTGCGGGTGTGTGGGTGTGGGTGTGGGTGTGTGCGTGTGGGTGTGGGTGTGTGTGTGTCAGTGTGGGTGTGGGTGTGGTGTGGGTGTGGGTGTGGGTGTGGGTGTGGGTGTGGGTGTGGGTGTGGGTGTGGGTGTGTGTGGGTGTGGGTGTGGGTGTGGGTGTGGGGGTGGGGGTGGGGGTGGGGGTGGGTGTGTGTGGGTGTGGGTGTGGGTGTGAGTGTGGGTGGGTGTGTGGGTGTGTGGGTGTGTGGGTGTGGGTGTGTGAGTGTGTGGGTGTGTGGGTGTGTGGGTGTGTGGGTGTGGGGGTGTGTGGGTGTGTGGGTGTGCGTGTTTGCTTTTTTTTCCCTTTTTTTTTCCGGAGACCACCAAAAATGGTGGGTGTTCTGTTTGTGTTCCTTGAAAACCACGAAAAAAAGGGTACCCTCAAAAAGACCCCACATCCGTATCGAATGTATGCCTCATTGCCTGTGTGGCATTTACTCTACAAGCCACCGTGGAATTCCACAGAGAGATGTCTCTCTAGGGAACCACGGCTTCATGTCAACTGGGGACCAAAAATCCAAGTGCCTGCACACCCAACAAATCTCGGTTGCTTTCTGCTCCCCTGCTAAAAGTGGTTTAATGGACAGTTGGCAAAAAGTTAAAGTCCTAACATCCCAGCAAAATGCACCAAAGAAATCTGGGTTCAACATGGTACTGCTTGGCTTTCTTGTCCAGCCTTCAAACTGGGGAAACCCAATGGCTGATCCCAATGGGTAACCCAAACAAAAAGAAACCGTGCCTTGAATACGCCAAATGGCTCACGCCCCTCGAACAAAAACACACCGTTAGGTGGCATCGCAAAGAACCTTCCATGAATTGGGATTGACGAATCCACGGAGCATGGAGGAGCGTTCGGCTGGTATAGTCATTTACGCGCCATGGTCAGCTCCCCTCACAAGCAAGCATTCCAATCAATGTCTAAACTCCCGATTCAAGCATTCATGACCATCCCTTCCAACCGCTTGTTCGAGGGATACTCTTTGTTCATGGTCCATATTTGGTGAACCTGAACATGAAAAACATCATTTCAATTCGGTTTCAATAGAAACCCATTAGGTTGCTTGGGTTCTTGTTTTGTTGTTTACAAACAAGTTGCTTTTGTGTTTTATCAAAACCCAACGTAACGGTCATAGAAAATGGGCATTGACCGCAGAAAAAAACCGACGCACCGCACCGCATCTTGGGCTTAGGTGCTTTGCGAACTTGCTGCGGAAGCTTTGGCCCGTAAGGGACTGGTTCCTCACAAACATCCTGGGCGCTGGGCCGGTTTTTGCCTTGAATCCAACCGCCTCAAAAACAAACACATACCTAGGTCCTCCAGTAGAGTGGTCAGAATAAGGTGGTACCAACTTTTTCTGGACGTCTATTTTAGTAGGGGAACCCTCCCCAAAAAAGGGTAAAAGGGCACTACACATGGACATATACGGAAAAAATGGCGGGCCGTTTTCGGATTGCGAAAAGTGAGTCTAACTTTGGGGAGTATCCCCAAAATGGGTTGCCCTGGTAAATGGAGACATGGACTAAACCTGCGGTCCATATCCTGGTGGTTTCATTTTGACCCATACCCACATACACCCTGGCTTGCCCAAAGCAAGGATCCCTCAAGAGGAGATTCGTCTACATACTGTGGCTTCCTGGGTTGCACGTGCACGCCCACGTGCCGTGAGAGAAGATTGGCTTCGTGATTTCCCCTGACTCGCAAGCGCCTGGGAATTTGTAGATCTCTCCACCGAGGCAGATTCTATCTTTCTATCCATCTATCTCTGAATCAATTGACACATCTAGCTTCTATCTAGGTATCTATCTCTTTATCTAGCTGTCTGTGTATCTATCTAACCATCCATCTGCCATGCGTGCGTATATCTAATGACCTGTCTGCCTGTATCTACCTATTGATCTATTTACCTTCCATCATCTTATCTCTCTATCGATTCCATCTTTATCTATCTTACGCCTAGGTGTGTACTATCAAGCTCTCTATCTACGTATTTGCATGTGTCTAAAAATATATGTGCATCCTTCCGCTTTCTACTTTATCTACCCAATCTGTTTGTCTATCCATCCACCCATCCATCCATCTATCTACCGACCTATCTATCTTATCTGTCTGTCTGTCTATCTATCAATCTACCTATCTACCTACCTATGTTATCTATCTATCTTGTCTGTCTGTTCTGGCTACTTCCTGATCTATCTAGTACGCTAGCTCGCTAGCTACCTATCCAAGTCTAATCTCTGTAATTTATCTTCCCATCTATCTTTCCGTTTATCTACATATGTATGCCTCTCTCTGCTTCCTATCAATCAATCTATCGACCTTGCGGAAGTGCTGCGCCTGCCACACAAACTAGCCGGCTCCAAGAGCGCTCCGAGCGTGGTCCGAACGAGCCCAGGCCGGGCGTCGCGATCAGGCTGACTTTCGAGCCTCCCCAGGAAGCAAAACCCGCAAAGGGTCTCACTTTTTGAACACTTCTATTCCCCGCCACACGCGCACGCACTACTTTCGTGCGTTCTTATTCTTCTCTTGTCATCTGTCTCAGAGTGTATATTCAACTAGTTGCTGTACCACGGAAGTTCCTTCTGAACTTCCTTTGATCCTGGCATCTGTCCATGGGGCTATGCGTTGGTGCCTGCACCCTTTTTGCCCAAAGCTGGCCGCAGCAGGTGCGTACAGAATGCACTTCGCTCTCTGTGACTCCGTTTGCTGCGACAACGCAATACAAGTGGTCTAGGCCATGGTAGCTCGAAACTTGAAAGGCGCTGTTGCACATCGCGCCTTGTCAAGTTTGGGGCGCACGGCCAAAACCCTGTTTCCGGAATGTATCCTCATGATCCGTTTTCTAAATCCGTGCATGTGGATCCCCAATTCTTAAGCATGAGGTTTGATAGGAACGAGGATGCCATCGGGAGATCTCCGTGCCAGCAGGGTCCACGACGCCACCAGCCCAGAGTTCATGTGCCGAGTCCGAAAGCAAAACCAAATCTCAGCATATGTCACACTGCGAGGGCTGTTTGACAAGGCGACCAACCCAGTGGGCAAAGACAAACCTGTGACAAAGGCACACCCTTCGGCGACTCCAGTAGTGTTTGAGTTGCGGGCCCATAGGATGTGTCATTTCAAAAAAGTTCGTTGGCAGTATATCGTGCCTGATGTGGCATTGTGGATGTCCAGTGCATCCAGTGCAAAAGCAAGACATCACCTCCACCCAGACTGTTTGAAACCATCGCATCACACTGTTGTTGAGGCGCCCAACGAGGGGATCATTGACATTCAAGCAGACTCGAAGGCTGATTGTATAGGTCCATAAATGAACCCATGGCTTGGGCGCTGATTTCCCACCAAAAGATAAGCATACCTAACGGCTAACTGCCCATAAACTCGGGGCTCATATACCAGGGGTTCAGCCATATGAGCATATAAGTTCAGCGTTAAACGGACTCATGGGGGCAGGGCCCACACTCACAAACTACGTGTTGTTTTTTTCTTTTTTCTGGAAACATCTAAAGAACTTGCTTCTCAAATCGGTTAAATATGTGCTCAGTGTATCAAAGCCCATCCACAAAAAAACACTCACTTCCTGAGTGGGGTGGCCAACAAAGTACCCAAACTGTTCACCCACTACTAAAATGGTCCAAACCCAAAAAGTATGAAGTTCATGAACCCAGGGAGTGAATCCCAGCCGCGAAAAGCGCCGGAATAAAACCAAAAAGGAGAAGAACCAAAAAAGGGGAAACAAGAAAGAAAGAGAGGTCAGAGGAAGAAACAAAAAAAAAAAAACGGGTTCTGGGCCGGGCATCTTGATCAGCTCGATGACCTCCATCAGGAAGAGGCCCTGCTTGCCGATGCCCATGCCTCCGACAGCTCCCGACGGCTCCCGACAGCTCCGGGGCCCGGAGACTCGGCAACTGGAAATGGGCTGCCCGCGTTTGGCCCTCTCCAAGTGTTTTTCTTGTTTTGTTTGTGTGTTGTTCGGTGAGAGGGCCCTCTCCACATGTTTGCGTGTTGTTTCTTGTTTTTTTTTTTTTTTTTTTTTTTTAATATGTTTCTTAGGTTCTCTCTTTTTTAAAAAATAACCAGGTGCTTCGGTGGGCGCTGCCATTTTCAATGGTTCTTGGAGTAGAGGGGGGGTGAGGCATTTTGCAGGGATCAAGGAATCAAAGGGCCCTAAAATGGGCCTGAAAAGCGGCTTGCTGCCCTTTGATCTCCTCTCTTCGCGAAGCCAAACAGTTTCGATGGGGGAAGCAACTAGGTCCTCCAGATTTGAGAGCCTAGAATAAGGGTACCCGATTTTTTTTCTGGACGTCTATTTCAGTAGGGGAACCCTCCCAACCAAAAAAGGGTAGCTGGGGGACCTAGTCAAAGAAACCAAGAGCACTTTCTAGCAGCCTGAAAACGGGCTCCTTGCCCTGTGACTAATCGAATTTCCAAGTCTTCAAGATGATGTATGGTAGGATGTCCTTTTGGAAGAATATGTTCGATTGTGATTCTTACTTCAATTTGGATTTTGAAGAGGACTTCCTTTCCCAGGATGTGATTTCCTGTTCCTAACTAGAACATTTAATAAGGCACCCTTTTTCTGTTGCTTTCCCCGAAGCACAAAAAACGGCTGAAAACATCTCAAAAAAACATTGAAACCAAAAAAGGGTGTATATTTTCCTGGGGGGGGGGGGTAGCATGTATATATATATATTATGATATCTGTATGTCTGGGCGTGTCTTAAAATCGTTAAAATAGGGTCCCCCACAAAAATGAGCTTCCTTTCTTTCCCTTTCACCCCCCTCCCAAAAAATGACACAACCCTTCAAACCGACCAAACCCAAAAACACCGACCATTCACCCGCCCCGTCGCTTTCTCTCCGTTCTCACCCCGGCCCTTGGAGCGCGAGCCTACGGAGGTCAGGTAGTTCAGCAGCCAGCCCATCTCCTCGAGGTCGAACTGCTCCGGCGTGGCTTCCAGGACGTGGCGCACGCACTTCAGGCTCTCCACCCTGAGGTTTGAGGGTTTAGGGGCCCGGGTGGTTTGATGGTGGTGTGGAGGTTTGAGGGTGTGCTTTTGGTGGTTTGCCGGTAGGGTGGTTTGAAGGTGAGGCGCGTTGATTTAGAGAGGGGCTGTTGGTGGGGAGGTGATTTCTTGATGGAACAATTGTCGAAAACACTGTACTTTTTCCAATTGACGATTTGGTGGGTTGGAGGTTTGGTGGTGAAACCAGGTGGCTGTCCAGTTCCCCTCCACAAGAACCAGGGAACCGCCAATGCTAAGCACCAACTAACGCTCATCTCTTTATATTTTGGATAGGCTTATTGACAAATCATCATCCTTGTTTGACAAGGGTACTCTGTTCCTTGGAATCTGCGAGACCTCATGTAAACTGCCCTAGCCTGGTGCACTGGCCGGTTACACGTGTCCCGCGCCAAGGACTTGTTTGCCCGGTTTGGCCCTCTCCAAGAACATGTTTTTTCTTAGGTTCTCTTTAAACAAATATAACCAGGTTCTTCGGTTGCCGCTTTTATTCAAGAATACAGGAGTAGAGGGGCGAATGATCAAGGAATCAAAGGGCCCTAAAAATGGCCTGAAAGCGGCTTGCCGCCCTTTGATCTCCTCTCTTCGCGAAGCCAAACAGTTTCGATGGGAGAAGCAACTGGGTCCTCCAGTAGAGAGGTTAGAATAAGTTGGTACCACCTGTTTTCAGGACGTCTATTTTAGTATGGGGAACCCTCCCAACCAAAAAAGAAACACGGTGAGAAAGGGCACTAATTACTGGGGGACCTAGGCAAAGCAGTCACAGGGAATGAAGGAATGACCCTCTTAAACCACTCAACTGGTGGCTTCCTTTAAGGGGGGAATTCTGGGTTCATTTCCTCATTCCCCACTGAGCGCCAGCAAGCTGAGCGCCTGGGAATCAACCCCCAGAGTCACTCCGCTTCGGCCATCACCCCGCCTCACGTCGAAGTCCGGACAGGTCACCAGCCCCGTGGTGGGGCCGATCAGCAGCCGCTCTCGCCCCGACGCGTCCAGCAGGTCCTGCGCGACGTGCCCTGGACGGACCCGGGGAAAACAAAGGACCGGCTGGCCCGAGCCTTCACCAACCAAAAAAAACACAGAGAACAGGAGGGAAGCCAAATTATGAGAAACTCCAACATTTTCTGGCCCACCCCCAGTCACCAACCAAAAAAAACTCAAAGAGTTCCAGGTGAAAATGTTGGAAGAAACCCCAGTTGAAGCCCTTTTGCTTTAGGTTCAGAATGATCAAGCGCCTCCCTATCCCCTGCCCACCAAGTCCCATCCCAGTCGACCAAATCAGATCCCCACACATCTTTTGCTGTTGGTTCAGAATGATCCAGCGCCATCCCATCCCATGCAACCAACAACCCCATCCCTTTCCCGGCGACTGGTCTGGGATCGACCCTCGCTCCGTCACCGGCTTCAGGGTGGCGCTGGTCTCTTCCCCCTGCGCCATCTCGCTGAAGAGCTGGATCAGCTTCACGATGCCCAGGATCGCCCGGTGCATCATCGGGTTTCTGAAGGAAAGGAACGGGGAGGAAGAAAACATGGGGAGCCAACAAAAACAAACGGGGTGGGGGGGGGGGGGGGGAGGGTTCCTGGGGGGGGCAAAACGGGACGGGGAGCCAACAAAAAACGAAGAAAAATGCCGGAAAAGGTCAACAAAAACATTCCTGACATGCGGGAATTGGGGGAGGGGGAAAGTTTGAAAGGGGGAGCCCAAAAAAAAAACGGGGGGGGGGGGATTACCAGAAACAAAAGATCCAAACACGTTCCTCTCATGCGTTGGCATTGGGGGGAGGGAAAAAGGGAGGGAAAGGGGGAGCCAAAGAAGTGGGAGGGGGGGAAGGGGGATCCCGGCGGATTCGTCACAAACGTCTGGGTGAATTTATAATAATTCATTAACCTGAAATAAGGTGATTGGGGGGCTCCAGATTTGAGTGGTTAGAATAAGTTGGCACCCGATTTTTTTTCTGTACTCTATTTTAGTCGGGGAACCCTCCCCCAAAAAAGGGTAAAAGGGCACTACTGGGGGACCTTGTTGTGGCACTTGGGCACTTCACTCGCCATGCGGGGCAAGGTACAGAGAAGAATCTGACAAACACATGGATGTGGACTCTTCGGGTTGGAGCGCTGCTTGAGTCCAACGATGATGTCCAAAACGGAGCGGTCAGTTGCAAGGACAAAAAACAACGGAGTTACCGCTTTGCTGCGGCACGAAGCGCAGTTTTGCAACACTGAGATGATCTTGCTGGTAGTCGGGAATGAGGGAATCATGAATCTGCAATTGCTTACTACATTGACAATTCCGAAAGCTGAATTGAGGGATCCCCAAGTAAAGGACCTTTAATCATGCCTTTAGCTCGTTATATCCCCGAAGCGGTGAGCTCGCTATAAAACAGGCAGATGAATCATACGATCTCCTGAATTCATTCCCTCACAAGCAGATCTCAAACTAGAGGTCCTCCCAAAATAGCTGCAATCCCCCTTTGGCGTTATCTAAACCAAGGTGAAAGGGTACTGAGGCTATCGTTAAACTAGTGTTTTTTTTAAATCTTTGAGCTGTACACCAACCAAGGTAAAACTAAGAGGTTGGCAACTTTTCCTTTTGACCAAGATTGGTTGGTGGCTCACAACACTCCCTTGTTGCACCAGGTTGGTTGCTGCTTGGCGACTATCATCATACCAGCGCTGCTTGGGGTTGCTAACTTCACTTTTCTCGCCAAGCTTGGTCCAAAAGGTACTTCCCTCTACAAAAAACAAGGCTCGGTCCTTTCGGCTGCCAACTTTCTCTTCCTGTCACCCAGGTTGATTGCTGGTTGGTAACCTTCCATTTGGAATCAGAGCCCTGAGGAAAAACGAAAATATGTCCAGCAGTGAGATTCCCTTTAAAACCAACAGGGGAAAATCGAAAAGAAAAAAAAGAAAAGTCTGAAGCAAAAACAGGGGAAAATCAAACACATGCTCAAAAAAATAAATGGAAGTACCGCTGGCTCCCGGTTTCCCTTTTCTCTCCGGGCTGCTGGAGCTCCCGGATCTCCGGTACCATCTCCCGCCACTGGCCCTGCTCATCTGGGTCCTGGTCAGAGGTCTGTGAATTTTGCGAGCGGATCTTTGCGTGCGTAAAAGGCCTGTGAGAGAGTTGTTGATAATTTTTCAGTGGGTCTGTGTCTGGGTTTTTGCGCATGTCTGCGTGTTTTTTTTTTTTTTTTTTTTTTTTTTTTTTTTTTTTTTTTTTTTTTTTTTTTTAAGTTTTGGAGTAGGCATCTGGTTCCAAACACTGAGGCAAGTGCGTAAAACCAAATGGCCAGCTGAAGAGACTTAGGCTCCCAAGCCGTCCCAAGTTGCCCTTACCCCACCCCTTCGCCCGGGTGAGGCTTAGTTCTTGGCCCTCTGGAGGACTCTAAACAAATTGTCCTCTACAACTCTTGGTATGGTCTGGCAAAAAAAGCAAATGTTTTTGCAGCCTAGTAAAAATTCGAACAGAACCCAAAAACTGAATAAACACAAAAACAACGACCTGCTAAGAACAGAAGTGTCGTATTGTCTGCTTCTGTATATCAAATTTGGGCTAAAACAGAACATCGTTTTGGGGGAGAACCCAAAACGGGGAAAACGTTGTGCGCATGCAGCAAACTTGGCGTCGAGTTTGGTTTCGAACTTGCGACTGAGAGACATGGCAGGCGCCCAGTTGCTTGTGTCCGCCACTCTTTTAGGATCGCTGTGAAACCGGGTTTGGATTTGTTTTGTTTTTTACACCTGGATTTTAGCTGTTCCAAGCCCCCTAAAAAGGTGTTCAATAGCAATATGTTAGTACTCTTTTAAAATTCCACAGGGGTGGATCCACAGATTCGCCACATCCACGCCGTTTTCTAGATAGAAGGGTGTCCAACAAAGTCAGCTGACCAAATTAGAGAAGCCCCCCCAGAGAAAAAAAAACAAAAAGTTGCTTCCTCGTTGATGCCCCTTGAAAGCTTCCGCAAAGAGGAACCGAACCCACATGCTAATTCTGGGCCTCAAGACAGTGAGACATGGCGATAGTTCCTTAGGCACCACTGTGTTGGTAACTAGAAGAATAAACAACTAAAATGGCCAATAGCCAGCCCCCCCCCCAATGGCAGTGCTACCGACCCCCGAGGCCTGCTTCACAAATTGATCGTGGGAGCAATGCCCCGACATGGGGCTTTGCTGCATAAGCCCCAATTGCTTGTGGTAGCTGCTACAGTGCTTTGGCAAAAAAAGAAACAGCTTGCTTTCTCGAGCAAGTCCCATTCCGTCCTGGGAGTCGTACAGCTGCTGGAGCCGTTCGCGGCTAGTGTTCAGGGAGTACTTAAGCTCGCACTTACACCAGAGCTGCATGTACTTGTCGTTGGGCACACCCTTCCTGACGATGCTCATCTGAACAATAATCAAAACCCGGTACAAAAATTGTCTACCCAGAACCATGTAAAGAGCTGAGAAGGCGTCCGCAGCTATTTATGTTGGAATCGCCCTTTACTAACCTTCACCTACCCGGGTTTTGATTGTGACACACCTCTGAGGAAATACAAATGTGCTGCTTATCCCCCCCGGCCCAAAAAGAAGTGTCCTCGGTGACACGCTTCCGGTGGAAAGCTTGACGTGTCAAATGATAACATGCGGCACTTGTGTTCAAATGCCACAAGAGTGCATGTTTGTCTGCACGGGGGCAAACCCTGGCCTTGACACCCTACAAGAACTGTGGGCGAATAGAAACAGTCCAGATCCGCGCATCACGGGACAAACCGCCATGCGAAACCAAGAACACAAAGAACACCTGGTTGTCTAGAATTGCTGAGTATGACATATCTGATTCTCTTCCGGCTCATGCAGTTGTGCTTCTCTGTTGGGGCACTGGTGGAACCTTTGAAAAGTGATTCCGGCCGATGAAATGCGTTCCTTCAACTCGTCTGAAATCCCCTCACCTTGACTTCAGGACTTCAGGCACAAGAAATCTCGCACAAGACATATCTCACTGTAAGATATGATATATCACCAACCTGAAATGACTCGTCACATAAAACAACTAAAGCACCCACCTGAAAATTTGGGAACCTCTTTAAGACCTTTCATCCTGACGCGCTCACAAGGCCTCCCCGTCTCACGGAAGGCAACAAGCTTCCGACATTTTCCAGGCGGGGCTCCGGCCGTCCCGCAACAAGACTCAAACCCAGCGCGCTGTTTACGGCGCCTCGAAGAGGGTATCAGGCAGTCTTGCAAAAAAAAAAGCAGAACAAAAAAAACGATCAAAGTGAGGGAACACTTTAGCAAAACCTACCTGGACCCCCCCTTGTTCAAGGCTTGTTACCTTGTTTCTGTCCTTTTCCCCACTTCTTTGTGGCGCATTTGCAGAAGAAAGGGGTGAACACTCAGGTTTGTCCGGGCAAGCAGACGGGCAGTTTCGTCCCCCGGGCCGAGCGGCACATGAGGCCCACGGATGTAGGGCAAAAGGATGGCAGTCTCGCGGAGCTTCACGATGACCTTCACCAGCAAGCCCTCCACCACGTCGCTCTTGAGAAACACCTGATCTCTTGGGCGACCTTCCATTTCCATTCTTAACCCAGGCATCCGAATCTTTCTACAACACCACCCAAAACCCTGGGAAACCGCTGGCTTTTGAGAAGAACGATGGTTGAACAGAATGGGGAATCAACCCCGCTAAATGATAGCCCACATGCAACCAAGTCGAAAGAGAGAAAAGGCACCCACGAACCCTGGTGGGTTTGAGTCCCGCACCCACGGAAAATGGAACTTCAGACTTGAAATGCCGGGACATGGGTCTGTCTTTGGTGGACATTGGGATTGATCTCCACTCGCCAAAGCAAACACCTGCTTGAACCCTCGGGCTGACGAACCATGGACCTCTGGATTCCCCAAAAAAAGGTTGATTGAGTTAAACTGGGTCCTCCAGATTTGGGAGGTTAGAAGAAGTTGGTACCCGTTTTGCAGGACGTCGCATTTAGCTGGGGAAAACCCTCCCCCAAAAAAGCGTAAAAGGGCACCTAGCTGGGGGACCTAGTTAAAAGAATCCACTTCAAGCCTTTCAGCTACAAGTCCCGGGATCTTTCTCAGCGTTGATGTTCCAAGGGGCCGAAGTAAGGATTTCAAGCCGGCAACTAAGGATATCTGCAATAGAACAAATGTCCATCTGTGATATCAGCTATTTCAATAATTCATGGGTAGACTCTCAACAACTTCAACAAGTCTCTTGCACGCAATGTGTGAGTTCCTTATTGCGCTTGAAACAGGTGAAGATCTTGGGCCGCTCGAAACCAAGTGCGCGACCCTGCGAAATAACAAACCCACATCCTCACACGGGTATCATGTTTTTTTCCTTTTCACATCATTCACATGGAACTGCACTCTCCCTGGGTTGAAACACTTGCTACACAAGTCGTGCAATGTCTGTTGGCTTGCCTTTCAGGGCCATCTGCTTGTTTGACGCGGAACTCTGCTCCATTTTTTAAGACAGACCACAACCCCTTTCCTCTCCACATGGAACTTGCCTGAGGGTTTTCTGGACCCCTAAGCTCCGTTGGAGATCCGCAAACGTGAGCCAGACCGGCAAAGCCCCAGCGGCATATATGGTCTCATAGGCGATGGAGAGCAGGAAGGGGTCGGGGTTGGAGGTATAGGCCGCCACCTTCGGGTTTTTCGACCCGAAAATTTCAGGGCAAAATGGCTGGAACCACAGAGGATGGTTTATGGGGAGGACATTCCCTCATTCCCTGCGCACCAGCAAGATTGGTGTGGGATTGTTTTGTTTAAGGCTGGGGCAACCAAGAGGGACCAGCATCGGGGTGCCCACTCGAAGACACGCCCACATGCTTGAAAAGAATGGAGAAGGAATCGACCAGGAATCATGACAGCCTTGCAACAAATCCGTGTGAGATTCTCCTACAAGAGATGAAGCTCAAAACATCCGGCCTGCTGTGTATGGACAGAATCCGCTTCACAGTTGGTACGCGGAACCAGTCACAGGGTGTCATCCACCCTGACAGGTGCAAATGGTTGGTCTGGCCTCAACATCCTTAATGCTGTGGATGGACGAAATCCGTTCGCACCACTTTGAATCCATGTGAAACCATTGTCCGTTGCTATTTACAAATGATCATTCCAGGACTTCTTAGGTGGTGCAGGATTTCGTGCATCCACAGTAGGGGCTCGGAAGTGGCCGTGGAAAAAGGGTACCTTTGCTTCTAGCGATCTAGGCAGGCAAGTATCTGAACCCAGGATTTCCGGCAAACCAACAAAACCCATGGGGGGAGGGTTGTAGACGTGGCCTCTGAAAAGAAGAATGGTCGAAAAGAATGGGGAATCGCCCTGGCCTCAAATCAGGGACGTTTCTTTAGAAAGGGGACTGAGAAGCCCAATGGCCATAGGAACATGACCCCCTTTTGTATAGGTTGACTTTATCAGGAAACTCTTCCCCCCAAAAACAAACATGGGTGCTACTAGGCAACCAGACAATTCTAACCCAAATCGGCATGGAACTCCTTTTCGGGTCGCTTTCAAAGCGCCCTGATCTCCGAACAAAACCACTTTCTGCTGTCTACAATCAAGGCAATCGTCTATTTCTGGTTGGGACTGTCCCTTGCTACCTTGCATCTTATAGTTCTTGTCCTATGATCAAGACGTATGTTGGCTCAATAATGCCCTGCAACCCCATTCAAACTGTAAATGCCCTTTTATGGTGATAGTGGTGGTGGTAGTGGTGGTAGTGGTGGTGGTGGTGGTGGTGGTGGTGGTGGTGGCGGCTGCGTCGACTCACCGGTTTTTGCCTCCAAGAGCATATCAAAGACATCCAGGCCGTTCTCTGCTTTAATCTCCGTCATGGCCTGGTCGCAGATCTCCTGGGAAAACCGTCCAGCTGCTTGAATGGTTTATGTGTCTCTAGCAACACTAAGTCAAGGTGTGTTTGGATCATACCGCGGATGAGCTTTTCTCAGTATGTATAGGGTGTCATCCCTCACAACGGGTGCCGGATTTTGGCCATCCGCAGTAGCTCAAGATATGAACTAGACGAACGCTCTCCAAGTGCACGCGGCGTGTGATGTCACTGGCTGCGGGAGCGCACTTCGCGCGCCGCGTCTTGAGTATGGACTAAGTTGTGGCAAGTTGCATGGCACTCTGCATTGCAGAAGCTGCGCTTCCCGAGCAAAGGCTGCAGGGATGCTCTTAGCAAGCCGTCTTTGCGCGAGGCGAACTGGAGTTGCGGGAGCGCACTTCGCGCTCTACTTGGGAAAGCTCTGGAGGGTAAACGATCGAGCCCGGAACCTCCTGATTGGGGGAGCAAGAGCGCCAACCACGACTCTGCCGCCAGTACAGAGGGTCGCTCGCGCGAATCGAAAACGTTGCAACGCACACTTGAGTTTTTGCACATCGACTACGCCGATCCCCGCAGAGTGTCGCGCAAGCACCGCGTCAGCAGGGTTGCGCATCGACTTCGCCGATGCCCTCAGCGGATCAAGTTTGTGCCGCGGACGGCAAAAGTCCTCAGCTGCTTTTGCCCATTGACCACGCCGATCCTCGCAGAGGGTCACCCATGGCACAAGTCCACAACTTTCTTGCAGCGGCTGATCCCCGCAGAGAATCCCGCGTCCGGTGCTTGCACATCGCAGATTCAATTCTCAGTTTTTGCCCATTGACCACGCGGATCTTGGCCGAGAGTCGGCGCGCGCACCACGAAAAGTCTTGTATTCTTCGCCGCGACAAACGTCCCACCCCCCGCTCTTTTCAGCTGTCTCACGAACGTCTCCCCCAAAAGAACTCCTGCAACATGTTCAGCACTACTGCGGCAGGGGGTTTAACTCAATACAACCGGACGAAGTCACTTGTTGCATTTTGACCTTGCACACCCGAGGCACGACCAAAGCCTGGTATCAGGGTTTACCCAAAGCCTTGTAATAAAAAAAAAAAAAACAAGTCAGCCGCAACCAACAATTCTAGCTGAGACTGTCTCTTGCCTTCATCTACCCGGATTTCGACCGTGGCACACCCGAGATCTCTGGGTCCTTCGAGCCGCAGTCCATCATGGTGTTCAGCACCCCGACTAGCTCCGCGATGAGCGCAATGTCGTCCGCAGCCCTTGGCCGGTGTTTTTTTAGTGAAAGAAGAGGCCAACTCAGTCATTCAACATGGAGAGGGACCACTACTAGGTCCTCCAGTAGAGAGGTTAGAATAAGGGTACCTTTTTTTTTCTGTAGTCTATTTTAGTAACCTACTGGGGGGGACCTGAACTATAAAGCGAGAACCGCTACCATCTGTGAAGTTCAAACAACCCAAGGCAATGCCTTGTATGGCTTCCACGGAAAAATTGAAGGAGGGGAAGCCCAGTATGTGCAGGGTACGTACCCAAGTTTCCTTGGCTTCTCTGAATGAGGTAGTCGTCTGTCCGCGTCAGCTTGTCTGAGAAGCGTTGAGACGAAACGAATGAGCCGAAATAAAGATCTTCCACCCTTCATGGGGCATTCACGTATGATTGTAATTTCTGACAAGAAGGGTGAGTCCCAATGCTTGGATCTCGAAAAGGAGAGTCCTTTGTCAGGGGTGCGCCCCGCATTCCATACTTTGGAGGAGTGAGAAAGCCATTGTTCAAACTCTTTTTCTGGCTTCTCTTTAAAGGAAACAACGTTTTGCCTTAGGTTCAATAGTGGTGGTCCTCCAAATAAAGGCTTTTGCCGCACAAAACGCTGGGTTTACTGAAGCAAGCCAAAGGGGGGGTGTTGGGTTGCCCCAGGCCCCGGCTTGCTCTGGCCGAGCAAAACGTCGCGGGGGGGGCGCAACTTGCTTCCAACAGCTTCCACTTAACCTGCAACCCTATAAATTCCCCCGACTGATTTTGGGGCCTCAAAATGGGTTGTTTTTGAGGGCCCTCATGAGGGGGTGCGAAGCTCTCCATTGGAGGGTGCGAAGGTCTGCGGGTCTGAGGGGTCATGACCCTTAGGGAAGGCTAGGTGTTGTTAGGCGGTAGGATCTGTTCGCTTCTCAGCACCTACATCAACTTCCCTCTTGGTGGCTTGGATTGGTGGTTTGGATGGGTGAACCGGCGGGGTGTCCCATGTACCCAAATACTACCAGCCAGGGGTTCCAATCCAAATCCAAACCACCGGGCTCCAAACCAACGAAGAGCTTCCAGGAGAAATGGAATATTGATCCCCCAACAAGCTCTCAGGACCTCGAGGCCGAGAAAGAATGCCGCGGCGTTCTCCATCTCCAAGTTGGGTTCAACCCAAAGGGTGCAAATCCAACCAAGCCATTCCAAACCGGGGTTGTGGGATCAAGGGGTTTTTCCCCACTTCTGTGATACAAGTTGGAATCTCCCCCTTTTTTTTCTTTGGGGTTAGGCCCTTTCTGTTGTACAGAAGTGGATTCCATTCCCCAAGCCACCATTCCCTCACTTGCTGAGTGGATGGCCCAAAAAAAGTCCAAACTCTATATTTACCACTGGTCTTCCCCAAAAGCTTCAAGTTCATGAACTCAGGAAGTGAGTTCCAAACCGCCCAAGCGGTACACCGACGAGGCCGTCGGGAAGGCCGGGCTCCCCGGCATCTCGCTGAGCCGTGGGACCGGCATCGGCGCGCCTCCCTCCTGCAGCCGCCTGACCAATCGGAGCAGCTTCACGACCCAAGCGGTACGGTAGCAAAACACTGAAAGCGTTTTGCAGCCCTGCTAAAAACGAAGAGGAAACACAAAACGCGAAAAGTGCCAAGAACAGGAAAACTTATAGACATTTGAGGGCCGTTGTTTTTACGGGGTCCCTCCAACATGGTGGTGGTGAATCTGGTTTCCCTTTAAACCCCCTAAAGAACGGGTCCCTCCCAAAAAACATTCGGGACTGCGGTGGTTGGTTTCCTATTGGTTCCCCCTAAAGCACGCATGCGACAATGAACGTTGCCCGGTCCCCATAAACCCAGAGCCCGAAATCCATGAGATCCCGCATGGTCGACCCTGGCAAGAACTGCACACACACACACACACACACGTGTGTGTGTGTGTGTGTGTATATATATATATATATATGTACACACACACACACGCACGCTCCACCTGTGGAACTGCCACGGCTAAATTTAAAGCTAAGGTTTTGCATCCGGGAATAAAGAGCAGGACCGCAAACCACCAGGACTATTGGGACAAACTGTTCTATGAAGCCAAAACGCATGGCCCGTGAGCATTGTGTGAGAGGCGCACAGAAAACAGTTGTAGTGGCAAATGAAAAACCGCTGATCTTCGTCTGCACATACTCCTTTGGAGCCAGCAAATCATAAGCTATTGACCAGTGAGAATGAGATGAGCCATCACTCAACAAAAGGCAGGCGCTACCTAGTTGCTGATCTCCGATTGCTGGGACAAACATGTTTGCCTCTCAAAGCTTTCAACATGTCAACATGCCAACGCATTTGTACGATTCACCTGAGCAACATCTGCTTGACAATCCCAAACCAATCTGCAAATAATCCTTTCAACACAAACTCCTCCTGCGGACAGTTCCTAAACGAATTCCATTCTTGGAACAACCTGTGGAACCATGATACCTGCCAGGGTTTTTGCAGGTTCACCACAATCTTGCCGGGGGGGTGACCACATATATATATATGTATATATGTATGTATATACATATATATGTGGGCTGTCCTCAGATCCCCCGCCAAAAGCAGAACTTTTAGAGGGTTAAATGGACATCCCCACTAAACACTAAAAGGCTAAAAGGCAAAGGAACCGGATGGCTGGGAGCCACCAAGATACCTGGATCTTCCAAAGTGTGTGTTTTTCATGCCTTTTCGTGACAAGCTGCTTTTTCAGACAATCAACCGGGGGGAAAATGCACACCTGAAGATTCAGGTATATATGTGTCTGTCTGTCTGTATGTGTGTGTGTGTGTGTCCCATTAAACCCTTCGGGGGTAGTTTGGGGTCGGCGGGTAAGGCATGGGCCGGATCCCAACGAGTGGCACCCTGCGAAAGCCGCACCGATCTTCGACGGAGAACACATGAGCAACGGCGTTTCACGGCTTCCATTTGGTTCAGACCCCTGTTCTTTTTATAGCGCAGTGATAGATTCCCTTTAAAACCAACAGGGGAAGCTAAACAATATTCTTAAGCAAATGGAAGATGACCTCCCACAGTTTGCCTGCGGCAGCGCGAAAAGGCCCGGAAGAGTACATATTGAAACAAACAAAAACGGTTTGCAGCAATGTCCAAAAATAGTGATTTCCAGTGGCTCTAGAGCGCGTCATGCGTGTCTGCAGAGCTTTCCAAGCTCTGCAAAGACATTCTTGTGGCACAACTCCACATGTAACTAAATGCATATCATTCCAAGCGTTCATTGCAGCGCCGGGTCGTGCACTTGGGCGTGGGTTCGTAGCATGTTCGGGCATGTGCGCACTGTGGGAATGCGCGCGCTGCGGAACGGATGCACTTATTTGGGCACGGGTTCTTACGATGTTGGGGCACGTGCGCAAGCCGGAACGGATGCACCTGGGCATGGCAAAAGCTCTGCGAAACGCTCAAAGCGAGGAAGAACTGGGAGGTCGTTAAGAACGCCAGCAGCGAAACCACGCAAGCAACATCTCACTTGCTGAGTGGATGGCCCAAAAAAAGTCCAAACTTTGTATTTACGACTAAAATGGCCTTCCCAAAAAGGTTTAACGTTCATGAACTCAGTTTACCGTTGCTCTCGTGGGCATGGGGCACCGAGAGTGCTGTGGCTTTTGTGAGAGATTTAGAGAGTCCCTCTACGTCCCTGTCAACTGTACCACAGACTTTTTGATATGTTGACCGAACCTCAAATACTCACACTGGAAATTTTACAAAGTGGCCGTGGATTGTTCCACTAGATGAGCAGCTGCCAGCACAGGCTAAAGTTCTTGGTTGGTTCGCGGGGAAGTCCGTCTCCAAATCATGATCATCCAAATACAACTGCGGCCTACTGCAACACCTCTGAAGCCAGGTAGCGTACCACCTGCTAAAGCTGCTAAAACATGAATCATAATCAAAATCCGGTATTAAAATGGTCTACCGGAAGCATGTAAAGAATTGAGAAGGCGGCCGAAGCGATTTATGGCAAGGGGATTGTCCCTTACCAATCTTCACCTACGCGGGTTTTGACTGTGACTCACAAGAGCCACGAGCTGCTCACGCCTTCTTGCACGCGCCCAGCAATGGGTGTGCAGCTTGTGCTCTAGGAAGTACTGAGAAGCCTGCAAACTTCAGTGAAGGGGGGGGCCACTTAGATCGACTTAGGAGCCCTACCAACCCCCCAAATCAGCCGAAATGTTAAAAGTGGGGGGGGGGGGGGACAACTCTGGAAGCTCCCCAAATCAAAGGGTAATCAGAGGGCAATCTTAGCCCAACACCCTCAGCAAAGGACAACGCATTCCTGCCTACAGAAGTTGAAGAACGGTTCCCGAGAAGGACAACTGCAAGGACACAAGAAGTTCTTAAAGGATTATTTGTTGCTCCGATCGGAAAAGCTCACATCTTCGGGCGGTTCACTTGAAAGGCCAGCGCAAGGACCAACAATGGTTGGCTCCAGCAAACCCAACGGGGTCCAATGACTTTTTGCGGATCGTTGGTCCGCGAGGAAACAGTGACCATGGCTAAGGCATGTCCATGTCGATTGATGAATCGTGCACCTTCCGAGGGGACTCGCCTTCCTTCCCAGTCCGGCGCTTTTACCCGCGATCCTTGTGCAACCAGCCCCCGAGTCAAGCGCCCGACGAAACGACTGGGCGAGGCCCACTCCGAATTGCCCGCGGGCGAATTCGACACATCTTGTTGGATCCAGAAGATTAAGCGAGCTGCAGCCGTCCAAACTTAAATCAGATCTCTCAAACAGCCGGGTGAAGACCCCCGAACGAGCAAACCGCCTTTTGAAGGTCCAATGGAAGACAACTGTGACAGTCCCGTGGTTTATCAGGAAGATTTCTTCAACACAAAGGGGGATTTGGTTCTACCTTTCTGTGGCCATATTGCAAGTCCTACATAATCCGACCACTTCGAGCAAAATAAGGCAAGTCACAGTTGCTTTCTTTACCTCGATGGCATTCGCAATTTGGAGGCTGATTTTTTGTCAGTGTGTGTGTGTGTGTGTGTGTTTTTGTTTGTGTTTGTCCCATTTTAGAGCGGATCCGGATCACTTTGGGGCAGAAACATCCCTCAAATCCGCCGCGTTCTACTTAAATTCGCGGTTGGCGTTGCCTTTCCCCCCCTGTTTAAACGAAAAGTTGCCTTCCAAAAGCGGTCCGCATGTTCGTTTCACCCCCGGAACATATTTCAAGACCGAACAGTACCTTCCACGTGCTTTTTCCCTTGGAAATAGAAGTGAACATATTTCTTTCCAGTCGTGAAATCGTCCAAACCAGCAAGGGAAAATATAGACATGGGAAAATAAACATACATTTATTTATTTCAGCCACTGGAAGCTGCGACTCGGCCTGCCAAACGGATCGTTCGGCGCGCCTTGATGCCCGCCTCCCCTGAGGCTCGCATGAGGTTGCGGCCCAGCTTCAGCAGCCGCAGAAAGGCACACTTCGCCTGGAAGGGATTCGATTCGATCGCAGGGGTTGGTCCCTCGATGTCCCGTTCTTCGACCAAAAGTTGGAGTTTCATTGCCGACCAAATTGATGGACTGGAGTGGCAGCTCAATCACGAAGGTACGAAGGGGAAGCGAAACTTGGTGGGTCCAAATCCAAATCGTACGCCCAGTGAACATCCCAATCCCCACTATGGACTAAATGGGTGGTGAATTTGCCTACCCCAAAATGGGACCATTGGTTTTGACCCACAGCCACATCCAATCTTCGCGGATGGGCCGAGAAAGTGACCAAGCTGCTGCGTAAGAATGGGCCCGAAAAGAAGAGAAAGTCCGAAACGGAACTCGAAAAGTGAGGAAAGGGATGCAACAAAAAGAAAAAAGGGCAATTGCGCCAGACACACTGGAACATGGGGATCCCAAAAACCGGGCACCTTTCCGTGTGTTGGACCCTAGGTGCCAATAACCCGCAGCCTTTTTTGCCGACGTCACGGGGCGTCACCCATAGTGGTTGGGGTTCTTTGAATAGGGGTCCGCTGTGTAAATGTCCGGTGGGTGAAATATTGGGATTTGCCCATCGTTTCCTCCGACCCCAAATGCCAGAAAGCTGCTATGCACTGTTTGCGGCTTCCTTCAGGTTGCGTTTTGTTTTTTTTTTTTTTTCCCGGAGGGGTTCGGGTGGTCCCTGAATTTCCCGTTCTTCGACCTCAAGTTGGAGCTTCAAATTGCAGCCCAGATTGATTTTAACACCTGGAGTGAAAAGCTCAGGTTCGGCCTCAGTTCAACGGTAGGGGAAGCCGCTGAGCTTGGCCATGAACAAATCTGGGGGGCCGATTCCTGAGGACCCTTTTCAGAAAGCCATATCCAGCGAAGTGGTTTCTCTTGAGAGAATGGGTGGAAAGACTGACACAAAAGGAGCCCGGACTTCCAAAGAGGTGATCTGTACGCTGGTTCCCCGGAAGAGATCATCTTTTCGATTTTGGGATCAGAACTCGATCGGAATTCCTTCTACAAAAGACGCTTGCCTTTTGGTTTCTTTCGGTGCTGAGCGACTGGGATCTGGGAGAACGACAGCAAAAGTGGGACCCCGGAGCTCTCTTGACTCAAGCGTACCATGCTTGGACCAGACCCTCAGCTCAACATGGGGATTTCCTATGTTTCCGCCATCTTGGTTTGCGACAACAACTTGGACCTGATGTGCGTCGTCATGGCTTCTGGGGCTATCGTTCTTTTCCTCTGTATCGGTTTACAATGTTTTAGCCTGCAAAACAAGTCACGGGACGGCCCCTTACATAACGAAAAGGCGCGGGGTTGCTTTTTCAGCCCACTTGCCAAACGATCGAAGAATCCAAACAATCTGGCGGTCAACATGAAGGGAAACCCAGCACGCATGAACTCCTAGCTCATTTTTAAGGTGTTCCAGAAGCGGGCCTCTCAGGGAGCGGGGATCGCCCCATGTTCGACTCTGCTGCGGCTCCCTTTGTGGTGTTCCATGTGAGCCATGGCCAAACTCTTATGGCCGATTGGGTGGTGCCCTTAACGAGAATCCGAATGGTAACGGATCCGTACCTGGTGGATGGCCATCCCTCTTACTCCCAAGCAAAGGAACCGATCTGTTGAGCATTGCGCATGGTCAAAACTGCCCGGTGGATGGCCATCCCTACTAGTCCCAAGTACTGTTGACCCCAATTTGTTCATATAGGGGTGTTCCCCCCCCAAAGAGTGATGAATCCCCACTCAACCCCAACACCCCGAGTTCCAAAGAACCGGGGTCAACATTGAAGGAACGGATCTGTGATCATTCCCTAGCGTTCAAGTCCCATTAAAAACAATTAACCCTTTAGATGATGAAAATTGCTTAGCTAAACGATGGTGGTTATATCAGCCGATTATCAGCCCCCACTGCTTTTCTGGTTTTGAACCCCCAGGGCGCAGTGTGAGTTTGCAGCTCCGCTGGCTTCGTGTTCTTTCCCTCTTGGTTCTTTCGCTCGCTCCGATTCTCCCCGCCTCGCTGCTGCCCAATAAGGCTGCCTCTGTGAAGCCCTGGTTGTCCGACTCGTGCCTCGCCGAGTCCCCCGTTGCTCTGAAAAAGTATGGGCGGGGGAACTGACTGGCCTTAGGCTTGCTTATAGGCATCGCATGCTGTATCTATATATATATATATATACACGTATGTATCTGCATGTGTATGCGACTGTATGTATATATATATATATATATTTATGTGTATATATATATATATATATTTGTAGTGGTGGGTTGCCCTTGCAACTGGATCCCAACTCTACCAGAAAAAGGCACCAACACGAGACGGAAATCAAAGTTTAGGTGCACTGTTGATGCCCTAGGTATTGCAAGTAGAGCAACGAGGGAACCCCCGTAAATTACCGCAGCTCACCGATCGGGTTCTGATTTGTTCCTGGCTGCCAGAACCTGGGTCTGCTAAAGTGACATCCTCAAGGCCGTCTGATCGTTTCAAGGAAAACCCACAAGTGCTTCTATGAGAACCCTTTAGTCAGCTTCGGGGTGCCACCATTCTTGTTGGCTTTGTTTCTTGCTTCCCTTTGAAACCCAGAAAGTCGGCTTCCCTCCAATTCGTGGTTTGGATTGGTGGCTTAGAGGTCCGGGGTGGTGTGTCAGTTGCCCTCACGAAAGGGGTTCAATTTCAAATTCAAACCACCGAGGTGGCATGAATTCTGACAGATGAGGAAGCCGCCAGACTGATCGCAAGTCTGGCACCAATTGAGGGTTGCCGCAAAAAGGGGTAAGCCTCAAATGCGACTCCCGGTCTTTCAACCCCAGCCCGCAACCCCATGCCCCCAACCCCCCAAGCCCCAACCCCAAGCCCATCCCCCAGCCGGTCCCATTCAGCGCGGCGCTTCATCACGGGCTTGTGGGCGTCGAAGAAGGTCACGCAGTGGGCGGCGTTGGTGGGGTCCGAGGTTGCGGTCACCAGCCTCCGCCGCTTCGCCGGTCGCCGCTTCGCCGGCTTCGGGATCGAAGGGCAACCCCCAAACAGCGCACAGCAGCAAGTGCTATGGGCGAAATCCAGTTCGCACCACTTGGAAACCATGGAAAACCAGAACGTTGGTCAGAAACCAGGGTTTCTTAGGTGGTGTAGCATAGGTGTCCTTTTAGGGGAAATAGATGGGTTTCCCTGGTAGATGTAGAAAAACCACCAGGTAAACCAGGAAGCGCCACCTATGGGCCCCTTAGCTTGGAGCACCACTTCGCCTCGCGACCTCGCGACTCGTGTGTGGGGAGGGAGAGGGGGTCCCCCCCATACTGTGGATGGACGAAATTCGTTCGCACCACTTTGAAACCATGGCAAACCATTGTCCCTTGCTATTGACAGAATCATCATTTCAAGGCTTCTTGGGTGGTGCAGGAATTCGTCCGTTCACAGTACTTCATTCTTGGACCTACCCCCTGCTTTTATTTTGTCCCTGGCTGAAGCTCACCATGGTTTCTTCCTTGACAAAAAGACGTGGCGGGCTTTTCCAGGTGGTTACCCCTTCTGGCGATCGGTGATCACGGAATGAGAAATGGAGTCTGACCTTGAGCTAATGTTAACCCCGGATTGATAAACCACTGGTTGATTAATAGGGGGTGTCCCCTTTTAGTGGGGATTCAGACCACTTTGGAGGAAACGCTCCCTAATCATGGGACGGGTTCATTAGTCCTGGGTCAACCTTAAGCCATCCAACTGTTTGGTTTCCTTGGGAACCAATTCCTGGGTTCATTCCATGTCGCATCTGCCGAGCACCAGCAAGCCTGAGGTGGGTGAAAAGTTCACCATGGTTCTTCCCGAAGAAGCAAGAAACAGTTGTGGATCACGAAAACAAATGGTCATACTTTATTGGTCGCGGACAATGGTACCCCTTCCTCCCACGAACGTAGAATTGGAGAAAGGGTACCTGGAGGATTAATTTCCTGTGCGAGGGACCCTCTGTCGGGAGCCATGCTAGTGGAAGGGAGGGTACCCTCTTTACAATCATAGAAGAGGAGGGGCTGGAAGCTACAGGGCTTTCCAAAATCCTTCTGCCTCGCAAAAAAGGTGGCGCTGGACAAATAAGTCCTAGCCGCAAGACCTGCTTGCTGACCGGATCCGCACATGCGTCCAAAGAAAAAAAGAGAAGAGTGTCAAACCACTCGCCTGAAGCCTCCCAGTTACCAGTGACGCTCACGATAAAAAACAGCACCAGTTCTTGTTGGTGGTTTGACCCCTTCTTTTGGTTTGGGGGGGTGGCCGGGGGGGAGGAAAACTAGCAAATGTTTGTTCGGAGCCACTGAACACCTCCGCTCTGAATGGGTTTGTCTCCAAATGGAATCTGCCTTGCGGTTCCTTTCAAGCGACCCAACAAGAAACTCTACTAGGTCCTCCAGTAGAGAGGTTGGAATAAGGGTACATTTTTTTGCTGTAGTCCATTTTCCCTCCCCCAAAAAAGGGTAAAAGGGCACTACTGTAGTCTAAAAAGACACGCCGAGAACCTGTTACATTGAGTTGAACAGTGCGGGCCACGGACCAAACTATGCCCACGGCTATTTTCAGAATCCCCGGCCCCAAGTTACTTGTAGGTCTTTTGACCACATCCGCGTGCTCCCCTCCAAAATCTGAACTGTTACCCTCCCACATGGAACCTGACGTTCGGGTGTCCCTTTAAAAGGATAATGTTCTTCCAGGCCCCCTGTCAGGCTCCATATTGATTGGTGGGAGGGTACGTTCCATGGCCGTCCAGATATCGAGACCCCAGTGGCATGAGTGGGGGACGGCCCCGACTGAAACCTGCGAGGCAGGCTCCCAACCATCATGCAACATGGAACTCGCGCAAAAATGGCCGATGTGTAAAACCCATTGCAACAAAAAGGCAAGGACCCCTGTCAACAGGGCCGGTTTTTGGGATGCACCTGTCGCGGGGGAACACGAAACAAAACCTCAAGGGTCCAAGCACCCTTTGAGGATGTCTTCTCGTTTTCGAGTTTGTTTGTTTGTTTGCTTGTTTTTTTTGGGGGGGGAAGGGGGGGGGGTCGAACAAGATCAAAGTGCCTCCTGCGAGGATATTTGAACCCTCAAAAAAAAGGAGTGCGCATCCGAGGCTTTTGAACGGCATAGGAGCATGCGCGCCTGCTGCTTGGGCTTGGGACTGGCGGTTTGTTGCATTCTTTGGGGCATGCCCATGATCCCCACTAGCATCGACGTCGGCGCCAAGGGGCACAGCCAAGCCATCCACCCAGGCGTTCCAGCTGTAGTTCTTGCCGTCCCCCATCTCCGAGGCCTACGCTTCGAATGATCCAATTCGGCACTTTGAAACGGTCCTTCTTTTGAGGCTTGAGAATCCAAAAGGAACACCACATTTTTGGTTGGGGGGGTGTGCCATTAAAACAAAGAAGACACACACCCAAAATGCAACCAACAATGGCGGAACACGATATCGGGAAACACAAAAATGGCTCTGCCCTGGATGAGTCGCTTTTTGTTGGATCGGGGGTGAGCTTTGGCTCCAGACAGGGACGAGACGAATTGCCTTGTTGGCTAACTCTAAGTTCGTGGGAGCTTTGAGGTCTGGGAAAAATGGTTTGTCAATAGGGTGCATAGGGTGCATTTATTCATGGAAGACTAGCGTGCGGCATGGGTCGGGGGTCTCCCCATGCGCGCGCACACACTTAAACTCCAAATGGAGAGTGCTAATCTTTCGAGTACAACTGATGAGTCTCGAGTACAACTGATAAGTCTCGAGTATGATGAGGTTCGACTCGCATAACGCTTGGCTTCCCTGTAGTTACTTTAACAGGGACACACAGAAGCAACGGCAGTTCAGGGGGGGACCAAAAGGACATTCAGAACAACACAACCATCTCGGCAGGTACGTCTGACTGATCAGGTCAGATATCAGCGCAGGTCACGACCCTCTTCGTTGGGTCACCGGTCGTGACTGCGGGTGATCCCCCTGCTGAGAAACCGAAAGGGTGGTGACAGGGCATTCTGTCACTCCGCACACACACGCCCCTCAATGAGGGGCGAGAAGTCTCCTTTTCCGCAGGAAGATCACATGCTCAACCCCGTGTCCCTATCGTTGACCAAAAACTCCACCGCGGCGAGGGGAACGAGAAACAGCCCTAAACCGCTCAGAAGACGGGAACGAGAGATCACCACGTTGAGCATTACGAGTGTCGCCATAGAGGACTGAAGCGAGTTGTGAAGCAGTCGAGCGATCACCATGAGAAAACGGAGTAGCATAGGTGAACGTCTCCTCAACTGGAATGGCATCGGAATTCCGAACTTCACCAAGAGATTGATCATGCGAATGATGAGTTGTGAAGGACTCCATTCGAGACAGAATGCGCTGGTATCCCTGATGCTGCCAGTCGCGGATGGTCCATGCCTGACCGTGCTCACCAGTGCGCCCATTGGGATCAGTCACCCGCTGCCATTCCCGAAAAGAATTGTCTGGTAGATCAGGTACAGTTTCTCCGTGGTGCCATCGCTGAGGCTGTCCTGCAGTGTAGATCCGCACCCACTCCTGATCCTGCCAGACCGAGTATTCGAGCCATGGGTGCTGCTTCGAATCCTCGATGTCCATGTCGAAGTAAGAGGCAAGGCGTATCGCGGGCTCCGATCCAGCTGATAGAGGAACAGGCACCATGCACAACCATGTACAAGCAACAACCAAGCAAGGTAATGCAAGTGTGAAAACCACCCTTATTTTGTACGCTACCCCACTCGCGTGCGTCTAGTCCTCATTTAGCTCGAAGATAGGTCTCGCCTTGGCTTTGCAGCTGTCGGGAGGATTAACAGGCCGGTATGGGTCGGAGACCCCAACCGTCTCCGATGGTGTGATTCCACGTGATGCACGTACAGGTTGATGAAGTTGGGAAGCGTGACGTGCGCGAGCTGTCAGTTGTTGAGAAATCCCCTCTTGGAGACGAGTCAGTTCTTCGGTAGAGAAATCCGCCGCATCCGAGGATCTAAGGATCGCTTCTAACATCTGCGGTGACATACTCAATGCCGCGGATTGCGTGGCCACGCTGTGATGATCAGGAAAAGACATAGAATCAAAGTCATGACCAGCTTGAGGGGCAGCGACTCTCCGATAGCCCTCTGTGGCCCAGTCTCTTTTGTACCACATGGTGACATTGAGCTGCTCACCGTCTTGGTCCGGGTTGGGAGCATAGAACTCCCTCCACTCTCTATACGTGTGCGGTGGAGGTGGAGCATCATGTTCTTCATGTGGAGTCCATGATCCCGGATGAAAGATCTTGACCCACTGGGCATCTGGTTGTTGAGGATCCGGACACCATTCCAGCCACGGCATGACAACGCAAACCCGGAAAGACAAATTGATAGGTACGGCTGCAGACAACAATTACTGAAAGAGACACAACTACCACAGTGCAAGAAATCACTTTTGCAGCAATGCACGGCTCCGGTATCGAAGTCAATCTCCCGAATCGAATTGAACTGAACAGACTCCCCAGGAAGGCGAGGACGAGCATCAGCCACCATCCGAGTTGGAGGATGCCGATGAAGAGGTCAATCCAGCGTACATGAGGTCCGGTGCGCCCGAAGCGAAAACTGGCCGCGCAATGCTAGGGTGTGGGCGACCCAGCCGTTGGTATCCCCTGGTGACCCAGTCTCTATAATGCCAAGTATAGAAGGATGCATAAGATACCGGCTGCGAAACAGCACCTGTATTGGTGCCGCCTGTGCTATCCCTCGGCCAATACACTTCGAAGTGGTAAACCTTGCGCCATTCCCGATAGGTGGTTGAGTCATCCGGGGCTGGTCCCAAGGTGTTCTCGGCGACTGGATGCCACGGACCCGGTACATAGATCCGAATCCATTCTACACTCGTATTCGCGGGGCCATTGACGATGTCGTAGTCAAAGTAGCGAGGCAGGACCCATCGTGCTGCGCTATACATTGTACAATTGAACATATCAACCAGGCAAACCGCTCAGAGTCAAATGAAAGCGGCGAACAACTGGAGACGGAACGCACAACACCAAGCAAGACAACTCAACATGGAATCGCACACAAAGCAAGCACAACCGCGTCATTTTATCCGACATGTTGCTCAAGTATCACTCCGAATCGTTCCAAGGATCATAGAATGGTGGTGGTGACGGCTCTCGCCACGCCCCATCCGGAACCGATGAGTCCACCGAGGAATTGGCGTCTGCATTCACGAGCATCGCGAGTCCAATGGCTGGTAAAGGAGCTCCAAGTCGTTGATACCCTCGTGTTTGCCAGTCTCGGTACTCCCACACGTGGTAGGACACATACGAACTGGGCGTGACAATGGGATCCGCTGTTGTTCCTCCGGTGCTGTCTTCGGACCAGTACACTTGGAAGCGATATGACCTGCGCCACTCCCGATACGTGGAAGCGTAGACCGGGGCGAGCACTGGAGCATCATCGGGAACGGGTCGCCACGTGCCCGGTGAGTAAATTCGAATCCATTCCACTCCTCTCTCGATCTGGTACTCGAAATATTGAGGGTTCATAGCGGCAAGACAGGCTATCGCGCGGCCGCTAAAAGCAATCGAAAATCTGCGGCGAAGACACACATGCAATGACAACCGCGCGCAGCTGAAGTGTCAACCAAAGCAATGCAAGGCAACTTTTCAAACTCAAGGTGAGACACAGCAGCGAGGTTTGTAATATACGACTTATACGACGCCTAAGCTTCACCGCCGTTGATGCCGCGCACACCTGCAATGATAATGTCCTGGTCGTCTACGAGCACAAGGGGAAAGACATTTCCGCCCATGGCGCAGGAAGGCATGACAGTAATGCTTGCAATTTGCCGATGGGGACAGCGATGGACGGTCAGCACGTTTGGAGGGGAACACGGTAAAGGGCCGCCGAGATCTCCGCGGTGCAGAAGCGGATGCTGTCCGAGATCGTTTGGATGAACGCCCTGGACTGCGTAGCTCTTCATCACGGGAATTGTCAGTGCTGTAGATCGATCGGCGTGTGCGCTGCGATTTCGATGTGGCAGGGCAGGATTGTCCGCGAGGAGCTGAGATCGAGGGGCTCCGTACTGAGGGCATAAACTGTGGGTGTAGAATCACCGGTGGTGGTGGCGGTGGAGGAGGCGGAGGTGGAAGAAGCAGTGGGAAACTTGGTGGGGGCGGAGGTGGCGTAGTCTGCCGAATGGGTCTGTCAAGCAGGGCACCAGGTCCGTGAAACTGTAACCACGTCGGCTGCGCTCCATGGGTCCAAGTAATGTACGTCTGTACGACTTGTTCCGACATGATTTGAGCAACTCAGTCATGCATTCAATTCACGTCAGCGGCAACACCCACAACGGCACGCAATATTACCCTGGTAAAATGCCAGTCAAGTGCAAGCAAGCAAATTTCATGTGATCAATAATGACTGCAATCCCAACCGTCGCAACAACCTGCAGCGCTAACCGAATACACCGCCACGGCCTACCATTTAGTCCTCCTGTGGTCGCTGTTGCATTTGATGACCGGGTTCCTAGCCGCGAGCCTCAAGTTGCTGATAGACCTTCCATGCCTGCTTGACTTCCTCAATGGGCTTCTGAAGGAACCGAGCAATGGTTTTGTAGGTGGGCCTGGAATCCTTGTCTTTCTTCCGTCGCACCATCTCATCCAGCTCACCCTGTGTCCATGCCGTGAAAGGTTCACGGTGTGCATTGCGAAGTGCAATGGTGAATTCTTGTAGAAGTTCCCGAGGTCCATGAACCACCGTAGGAGACGGTCGGAACGACGAGGCACCTGGATGTGGACGCACTGAACCATCAGAATCCGAGTCAGGTGTCGTAGGCGTCATCTGTCCCGGTTCTCGTCCGCCGTGTGGGGCTAAGGGAGCAAGCGGCCGTGGTGGTGGCAGGTGATCCAACATCGATTCAGGCCGACGACCAGAATTGTTGTCAGCGGCATCCCGATGTGCCGCACGAGGCGGGGATAAGGCCGGTATATACCAGGTGGATGAAGTGTCCAAAGGTCGGGTTCGAATTCGAGTGGGAGAGCGGGATCGGTCAGACGAAATGCGCTCTGTGATGATGCGAGGGCGCAGCCCGTGCCTGGAGTTCCGTGGTGCCCTGGGAGACACTCTAGTGTCTGACGGATGGCTTCGCTCGGTCATCAGGGCAAAGTTCAGGGTGTCCAGAGCTGTCGCAACTTGGGATGCAAGGACATTGAGTACCGCCACCAGGTTATTCACAAACTCGGCTGACAACTGCATGGCAAATGAACACACAGCAAGGACAAATCAAGCAAGTAAGGCTGCGGAACTGCGAAGACA